GGGCCAGGGTGCGCTAGCGAGCGTGCCTGTCCCCCGGCCCTTCCGAAGTTTCACGCTGAAATCGAGGCTCAGCCTCCCCGCTGCACGCGCTTTCACCGTGGGTGGGCCAGAAAAAGTTGAAAAGTGATTGTATTTGTTGTTCAGTTTGGTCCCCAAGGTAAAAAATACACAGACAGCACATTCAAAAGACAATTGGGTAAAAGTCGTTTGGATCAGATGGAAATAATCGTTAACACACAATATATAAATAAATTTCCATCCCCGAGGAGATGACTGTGGCTTCCCCTTTTCGGAGCCTACTATGAAGGTAACCATCAGAGCTCGCGCTTCCGAAGGGTCTCTCTCTTCCCCGCACACTTCTCCCACGTCCGGGATCTGCCCGGTAGCGGTCTCTGTTCCCGCCGCCTCCCTCCGGTCCTCAGCCGCCGGTGACCCAAAACGGACAGGAGGTGGCAGTGTTTGGGAGCAAATGAGCTCCTACGTATTACCGCCGTCTCGGGGCTGCTGAAATCTCCGTAGGGCAAAGCAAGTGACTCTTTTTTCTTTCTTCCTGTTTTTTTTTTTTTTTTTTTTTTTTTTTTCTTTTTCTCCTTCCCCTTCCAAAAGTCCTCTCAGGTCTACCTTCCTTTCTCATTCTACTACACCTTAATAACTGAGTTATTGGTCTGTGATTAGGACCAAATAAAATATTGCGGCAATAATGAACTAGTCACACAATACAGCAAAGTCACGTAAACTGGGAGTGATGCTTTCAACACGCTGCTGCCATGCAGGGTGTGGTGCTAGGGCGCTGTGATTAAAGGTCAGGAATTTCAGTGCAACACCAAGTCATCAGCGGGCCGGGCCCAGAGCCCAACCTGCAAAGTACTACGCTCCCAACACACAGACACACGCACACGCAGGGGAAATCCCTTGGGACACACACACACACACACACACAGGGGAGCCAATTGTGGGGGACACCTTCACACCGCTCCGGGACCCATTCGCTCACACCCCAGCGCACCTTCTCCACGGCAGCCTGTTTGGATCCTGCCTGCAGCGCTTCAAGGAGACACTGGCTTATGTTTCAGAGCAGTTTCATCTCACTTAATGAGACTCGAGCTTTGCCGATTTTCCTTTTTTGCTTCTATACTAAATTATAATTTAGAATGCATTACCTAATTTCTGTACTCTGACATAATGCAGATTATGTTGATTTACAGGTGGGTGGAGATGGCTGGGTGCCAGTACCTACAGGTGAGACTCCAGTGGAGATGTAACTTCCCAGCCTCGAACTTCAGGAGCAATGTGTGCAATGCGGCAGCCTCAGCGCAGCTCAGCCCCATGTAAGTGTTCTGATGTTAAAAGTTCAAGCAATGAGGACACTCAGTGAAACTAAATTTTTGTTAAAGAACAATGCATTTGTTTTTCTCCCCTCTACCTGTAAGTCGTGACCTCTGGATATTAAAATTGCTTATATATCCGTGCATTTCTGTTCTCCCCTTCCTCACTACAGGAATAGGGAAAAGTCTCACAGAACTGAAAGCCAGAGAATACAGTTCCTTGAAAGCAAAAGGGGTCCAAAGAAGAACCTAAAATTCAGTCCTATTTTTGGTATTTATTGTTTGTGAGATCCTAGAAGCACAGTTCATGGACCTTCATTTTCCAGCTGGTAAATGAGGAAAAATGCCTGCTTTGTGTAGTTGTTTTAATGATAGGGAATATCAAGGCCTCGGTGTGTCTGCTACACTGTGGATATTCAGAAAGCATTAGTGCAGGACCCTCCTCCTGGCCTTCTAATCCTGAAATTATTTTTGCAAATGGGTTAACAGCTTACAGGGAGGAAAGGTTTGCTTTTCTCACTGTTTCAGAGGTTGTAGTCCAAGGCCAGCGGGTCGGACCCCTGCTAGGAGAATGTCACTGACAACTCACTTCTCTGTAGCCAGAGAGCAGAGAAAGAAGGAGGCAGCCGGAGGGAGTCTCAGAGTTCCCTTCTACGCAGGCACTCAGGGAGCTGCCTTCCTGACTGCACTACGGGCTGGTGAGCAAGCCTGTGATGCAGACGCCTGGGGAACACCTTTCCAGATGGTGACAGTAAGCAGTAAACCATTGCTTCTGTCGTGTGTCTTAGCATACAGCCTGCTTTGGCCTTCTACTGCCCTTTCCCTCCCATAGTTTGCCCTAGGCTGTGCCCATAGTGACATTCCTAACCTTCACATTTTACCCACCTTTTTCCAGTCTGAGGTCAGAATTCCAGCTCCAAGGTATGTAGTCCTGATTCATAATCACCAAATTAAGAGATATGAGACTCAGTTTACCAACACACTATGCCACCACCAGTTTATATCAAATTAATATTGAATTAATAACACTTGATATTATTTATATCTCAGCTTTCTGTATTAAATATAAGCTCTTGAATCAGAGGTTGGTTCATCCCTTCCCTCATCCATTCCTAAAATATCCCTTATCCAACCTGGTTTCCAATCCTATTACATTCTCAGTACAAGGCAACAAAGCCATCTCAGCAGAGAAAGCTGTGCCCAAGTTGATGAAAACTAATAGTCCGTTGCTGCTGATTTCCCTTCCACAGCACAAAACAAATATATTCAGTGTCTGACAACAGCATCTACAACAGAGGTTTGGGGGCTTTATAATTCTTATGCAGTTGTTATGCTTTCAGTAAAGAAAAAGTTAGTGAAGGCCTCAAAACTGTGCTTTTGTATCTTCCCGTATTTACTATATGAGGGAAGTTGAATGACAGTGTTTAAAATATTTATTAATTCATTTAAAGTTATAATAAATCCAAATACATGTCAACTTCAGTAACATTTTTATAAACATATTTTCCAAAGTAAAAAATTAGGCAGAAAAGCAGCACTATTTTCTACTATTGCAAATCTCCATAGTGTCTAGCTTTACTAAAGATAGCTTATATTTGCTTCCATTCGGTTCATGTGTTGATCTAAATGTAAGCAGAAACAACAAGTGTGGTGTTACATAGATAGATAATTTGTTTTTTTTTTTCTTTTCATTGAGTTTATTGGTACATTCTAGTTATACAATACAGTTACATTCATTACTGGGATCCTGTACCTTTACATGTAATTTGAAATGGAAGAATATTTTGTCTTTTTTTTTTCTCATTGAGTTTATTGGTACATTTTAGGTATGCAGTATAGTTATATTTATCATTGGGATCTTGTACCTTTACATGACAGGTCTTGGTTCTCATTTTTTCCCCTTGTCCCTGCCCTCCCTTCACCTCCTCCTCCCCTCCCTATATTTTGTCTTTTAAAATACTCTTTGATAAAACATCAAAACCTGCATTGCATCAAAGTTGCCATGTGGAACCTAAAGCAGTATGAATGAGCTTTGTAAATGTTGGTCTGTCTTATATCTTTAAAATTACAAACATTCATGAATTTGTACAATGTCCCAAGCATTTAATAGTCAGTATATTGTGTGACACACATTTTCTAAATGTTAACGTATTTCATTCTCAGTACTTAAAGAAAAATACAATCATCAGTTTTGCCACCAGTCTTACCCAGCAAGTCTTCACTTACTAGGAAGCTGCCAGCCCCATCCTGATAAATACAAGTTCTTCATATTCAACTTTTAGAAAAGCTCGATATTGTCACTTAGAGCATTGTCGCTTGCTTTCACTGAGTTGAAAGTTTCTCTTCAAACATTTAAGAAAACAAAGACCTCCAAATACCTCAGTCTGAATGATAGTAGTTTGTCAGTCATTCCCTCAGGCAAAAATGAGATTCCCTGGGAGAGCAGCAGCAGGCTCACAGCCCACAGGCCAGAGTGTGGAGTCTTTCCTATGTCCTTTCCACTTCTTCACACAGAATCTTAAAATATCATAAACTCAAGGACTGAAGTCTACTGACACTGGTGAGTTATGTTGTTCTGTCCAGGAGCTCTGTAAATGAAACTTGCTCTTCCTTTTTTGGGGAGTGTCGGACCATCACTGTCCACACACTGACAAGGAAGAAAATGGTGAATGTGCTGTCCTAGGACTATGGTAAAATAATTTTAATCCCTTGAAAGGGTCTCTGAGTCTTCCAAAGATCTGCAAGCCACACTGGAGAATGGTTTGTATAACACATCCGACATGCTGTAGCATACAATTCTGGGGAATTCTTCTTTTGTTTTAAGGTTACAGGGAAACTGCTGCATGAGGAAAAGCGGCCTAGCAGCAAGAACAGGAATATCAGCAGTGGCCCTGTCACTGAAGTGTGGCTACAGGAAAGAGTAGGGAGTGGCATGGACCTCCCAGACCTTTGACACCTTGGATCTGCAAGTGAGTTTAGCACATTTTCAGGACCCTAATACTGTGTACCAGGGAGAATTAACACACATTAGTATCGACCTCAAGGATGGTAGTTTCTTAGGAGACAAAACTCTGTAAATATGGAAAAGAATTGTTCAAAAATTTAGCTTTCTTCTTCTCTGTTTGGATGATACAAAGGGCCTCCAGTATCAAATACAAATTGCATTACTCAAATTTCAATGTGAATCTTAAAACTGAACCCCCATAGATCTATAACTAACTTAGAGAACATTTTGAGGAGGTTATGGCAATGTCAGTGATGGTCACTGGAATTGACATTGTGGGTAAAAAGAGATCTAATCATCCATCTGACACCCCAAAAATGAGAGTGAAAGATTGGAAGACAATAAAACATGTTATACATTGATATAGGTAGAAGAAGGTACATTTACTTTTTATCAGTGTTTTTGAAGATTTTGCTATATCAGAGTAGTAATTTTTAAATCTTTAG